CTGGTGTTCTATGGGAAAAAACAGAGAAGACAACACTGAGTACTAGTTAGGAGAAGGGTTCAGTTGGGGACAGAGCTGTGTGTGCCTTCAGATCCAGTTGGATAGCTTGCCAGTTTGAGATATCAGAGTCCCACCCACCCAGTGAATCTGGAACCCCCTTGGATTATTTCCACTGGGTTTGCTGTTTGATGCCTGTGAAAAATATGCAAGAATGAAGCTTTTCAACCTAACAACTGGTCAGATTCTAGCACAGTGTTCAGTGCTTCCCACACTTCAGGGTAAGCAGCTTGGGCTGCTGGGACTTCATTAGGTCTCCAGATGAGCACATGTACAACATCTGTTTATCCATATATGCATATGTACATGTGTAATGTGCACATACATAGTCACAAAGCAGGTGGTCAGAAGATTTTCATTCTAATCTTAAAAGGGTCATACTGTTGTGAAATACTTTCAAAAGTTGCTTTTCAAAGACAATCATTTTGTTTGTTTCTGTTTGAACATTCTTGTGACAAACTGAACTGGAAAAGCAGCATGTCAGAAATACCTTTGTTCTATATAGATCTCTCTCTCTTTTAAATTATAAAAGTTCTTTTTTTTAATTTTACCTTTTACTGATCATGTGAAACTCTCAAGAAATGCTCTTTTAAGTATACAGCTGTAAACTGTTCAAAGTAAACATAACAACCTAGGTGTTATTTATTAACGTATTATACAATGATGTCTTATCCAGTATGTGCTTGTCCTATTTAAGATTGGGATGTGAGACATGTTGCCGTGACCTGTTTTGATTTTTGGTCTTTTTTTTTTTGTTGTTGTTGTTGTTTTTCGTTATTTTTCCTCATTCACATTTGTAGATATTGTGTGAACTACAGTATATAATGACAATAATTAAGAGGATATTATGTGGTTGTCACGTACATTTTGAAATGATAGCATTATATTAGCTTTGTATCATGTTTGCATAGCTCATTAATGTTGATGGTTTAAACGCCACTAAATGTTATGCAATTAGCAATGAGAAAGAACCCCTCCTTAAATCTGGGGGTTTTCCCACCTCTCTTCCCCAGATGCATTATGATTCTGGACGCCTGTCTATCTCAAAACTTTTAAGACATGCAAACCAGTCGGTTCTGCATTCCTTTTAAATACCTGATTGTGACAGCTTGTTGGTCAGACCCACTGTCTCATTCATATTTATTGTAATATATTTTTGTTTTGTAAATACGTTAAACACAACAAAATGTCATTGTTCTAAAATATTTGTAATGTATATTAAAAAGGATAAAAATACTTTAAGAAATATACGTTATTTTGTACTTGTGGGATTATAAGGGTCTAGGGCCATGGTTCCCAACCTTCCTAATGCTGTGACCTTTTTTCATACAGTTCCTCATGTTGTGGTGACCCCTCCAACCATAAAAATCATTTTTGTTGCTACTTTATAACTGTCATTTTGCTACCATTATGAATCATAATGTACACGCTCTTAGAGACAGAGGTTTGCCAAAGGAGCTGTGACCCCATAGGTTGAAAACCGCTGGGCTAGAGAGATGACTCAGGAGTTAAAAGTGCATAATGTTCTTGCAGAGAACCTGACTTTGGTTTTCAGCACCCACATTGGGTGCCTCCCTGCCCGTCTCTTCAGCTGTAGAGGGATCCGATGCCCTCTTTTGGTCTCCACAGGTACTTGCATTGGTGTGCACATACCCCCTCCCCCAAATACAGGACTAAAAATAAAATCTTAAAAAAAGAAAAAAGCCAAACTGGACAAATGAGATAAGGAGTACAATGACAAACTTGAAAGACACCTTCTGACCTGATTTGCTTTTAAGGAACAGTAAGGGGAAAGAATGTGAAAAGTGAAGAATACATTTGCATCAAAATGTAGCCTAACAAGATTCTATACAGTTATGCTTTCATCTCCCATGATCATTCATGCCCTGAGACAAAATGACAGACAGATGACATACATATTGGTCATGCCTAATGACTACTGAATACTGTGTTGCAAAAGGAATCAACACAGAAATCCTGTTCTCACCAAAATGTTAATGCATTTTCAGCTGTGTGTGTGTGTGTGTGTGTGTGTGTGTGTGTGTGTGTGTGTGTGTGTGTGTTGAGTCAGAGAGATTCATCTATAGTCTGGGACTTTACCATAGGACAGGAACATTTGTAGATACACTGTACCACAGCATTTGAGCCATTACTGTGCCTGTGTGTCTAGACTCAGAGGCTCAAGTAAGTACCAATGCCACTGGTGAGGTCCCACTTAGTAAGAAGTCAGCACAAAAGTTGAATTCCAGAAGTTATCACAGGACACAGGTCAGTCCCCATGCTGGAAACACCAGACCAGAAAATGTAAGTCAATTCAAGAGGTTTTTATTATCCTAAAAATAAGTCATACAGTTTGCAACATAGTGCTGTGTGTTGGCCTGAAACTAAAAGAGTAGCATTGAATCCTGATTTTTTTTCTTTCTACTTAATATCTGTTACATTAACAAACACCTTAAACTCTAGGAGCTCTTCCTCATAGCTCCTCCATGAAAGAATTAGGGACCATGGGTATAAATTGTTATCCTATGGATACTGATTAATAACTAGTACTACTGTTAATGATAATAAATGAGAAAGGGAGCCCTCCCATTTGAGAAATGGGTACAGCAGTAGGAAAGTCTTTCTGGAAACACTCCCTCCTTTGGCACTTCTTCCTGTCTTCTTGGGACAAGGATTGGGTAAGATCTGGGTGTGGAAAATGGCAGATGCTTGTAGGGTCTGTGGATGGGGTAGCTGTGGGCAAAGAGGTGAGTCTACAGCTTTCTGTTAGTGTCATAGCACATTTCTATTTAACTGATGCGCTGACCTTAGAACCTGCTCTGGACACATATGAAACCTTGTGGTGATCTTACATGTATGGCCATGTAAGAGCTGGAGCTTGAGAAGGCTATTTTCCATGGGATGGAGAGAGATGACATTATTTATAGTAAACTAATATTTGCTATGCCAATTACTACAAGCTGAAGATCTCAGAAGCCAAATTTCTCCAATCTCCCATCTTCCTTCCTTAGGCAGATCATAGAGACTAGAATTCATTTTTGCTTAGGCAGGTCATAGGACCCATGCCCTTAAAGCCAGGCATGAAACCTAAAGTCACCTCACTTTCCTCCCTTTTGCTGTAAGAGTTGATCACTGGAAGTTCTTTCACCTTTAATTGTAGATCGCAAGCTCACTAGTCCAGGAAGGTTCCTGTGCCATCATGTCTGGAAGAAGGAACCCTGCACAGAGCACCCGAGAAGAATATGAGACCTCTCAGATTTCCATCTGAGCCCATCACTGTTAGGTCAGACTCTTTTGACTGTCAGTGCTTCATCAAACCCAAACATAAGAATGCACAGTGAACACAGACTCCTTGAATCTTCAACCTGCAGGCTCCTGTGTCTTTTAAAACTATGATCAAATAAATTTGTTGTGATTTTTTTTTGTTGTAACCTGTCTTTTGGTATAGTGGTATTGGCTATGAAACTTGAATGGGAAATGGATCACAACTTTCTTTTGCTCCCACAGTTGATAGAGCCAACCTTTGGTATATACCACAGGTAAGACACTAGTAAACACGCAGATTGATGTGAAGTCAATGGATTGCTTTGAACACCCTCTTACATATCAGGTATTACTGTTATTTCTCATCTCTGTCAACCCTGCCCTCTTTGAGTATAAGATCTACTTATACTCAACAGTTGCTTTTTGTTTGTTTGGTTGGTTGGTTTTGGCTTTTCGAGACAGGGTTTCTCTGTATTGTTTTGGAGCCTCTCCTGGAACTACCTATGTAGTAATTTCCTGAGTGCTTTTTCAGGTACCACAATGCCTCCTTTTCACCAGGTGTATTGTCCACGATGCTGGCAGGTGCCTGACACTGCAGATAGTACCAGACCCTGTGTACACTGTTTATCCTATAACACAATGGTACAATGGCTTAACTTGTAATGGTTACAATATAATTAACATATTAGAAAAATTAGAAAACATATTGTAGTAAGTTATGCATATGTTGTGTTTGTTTCCTCGTGGTTTTTGTCTTTCTAACCTTATCTAAGGAGCTGTTTGACCCAGTTCCTATCCTTTCTGAACCCCTTTCTGTAGAGGTTTTCTATTGTATGGTTTCTGGGGGGAGTGAAAATTGGCTTTAGTTACTTGCAGATCCGCGTTGAGAAAAGAAAAAAAAAAAAAGAAAGAAAAAAAGAAAAATAATAGATGCAGGGGAACTTAGGACTCAAAGAGTCTGTATGGTACTTAATCGCTACAAATAAACAAGAATGAAGGAGACAAACCAGACGACACACAAGTTTACACAAACTGCTACTGTAGCTACAAGCATCTAGAATATCAAGAGGCAGCATCTGGGTCCGAAGTCACGACTGTGAGGGATGTTTGGTCCCCACCTTGAGGGACGGGGCTGGGACATCTCAGGATTTCTAGGATCCCTGAAGAGTTAAAATTAAGGGGTTATTCTGAGGTAGTGAAAGTGGGAGGGGCGCTAAGATTGGGAACCGAGTTATGTACCAGGGGCTTGGAGTTTAGTGAAGGACGTTTGAGTGGCAGGAGTTAGGGCCAGTAGAGTCCGGGCTCTAAGTGGCAGAGGCGGGAGCAGTCCAGCGGAGGCGGGGTTCTGCAGGGCGGGGCAGGATCGGTGTGGTAGGGGCGGGACTGTAAGAACTGGGGGAGGAGTTATAGGTTCGCGAATGCGGGAAACGCCTGGGGAGGATCTCCGTGGACTGGAACAGAACAGGAAATGCTGAGTGCCCGTAGGGCAGGATCCGGCCGCATTGGGCGTAAGGTTATGAGTGGTAGAAGCCAAGACCAATAGAAGTCAGGATCTGCATGGTGGGGCGGGCTCTGTCCCCCTGGGGGCGGGGCTCCGACAGCTGAGGGTGGAGCCTCAGGATTAGGGGGCGGGACTCCGCGGACGGGGTGGCGGGGAAAAGTCTAAAACAACAGGAGGAGGATCCTGTTGGAAGGGGCGTGGCTCTGTTGGCTGGGGGCGGGGCGGACTCCGGATTAGCACGCCATCCCTAAACTAGTCTGTGTGGGGGCGGCTTTTGGAGGAAGCCGGAAGCAGCGACGCCTCAGGTCCAGGGACATGGCGGGCGTTAAAGGTACACCGCGACTCCCGCCCGCGACCGGTGGTTGGGGTCTCCCTGGCTCCCAGCTGTGCCGCGAGCAGCTAGCCGAGCGTGCGGGCTCTTGCAGACCTTGGGCTCTTGGGTGCGCTGCAGCGGTGACTCGCCGACCCTATAAACGCTCGAGCCCACGCCCGCCAGACCCTTGGTGGGGCTTCTCCTCTGGGATGTGCGTTCCACTGTCGCCTCCTGAGCTTCTCAGTTCCCCATGGGTCACACCAGGGTCCTACATCCTCAATTTCCTGCCCCTCCGCAGTTTCCTGTGGCTTACAGAGGAGCCTTTGTCTCCAAGCAGGGTGTTGGAAACTTGGTCCTGTTGTTTCTTACGATTTTCTAGATGGGCAGAATCAATTCCGGGCGTGTGACAGTGAAAAGTAACCAGAAATACTCTCTCTATTTGTCGCAACCTTGTGGCTCGGATTAGGTGGGATTTTAAACAAGACTTTGAGTGTTTTCCTTGACTCGACTGTGAACAGACAGCGCAATGAGTGTGCTGTTCGTGTTTTTGGATGGTGATAAAAGGGGCTACCGAGATTACCACCCCGATCTGTATGAATGAAGGGCAGTAGGGGTCTGAGTGGGGTTGTAGTTATTGGAAGGCTTCCTGTTATTTTGACTTCTGGTTATCCGCACAAAGTAGACTAACTTGTGTCTTGTGTTGGACTTCCTTTCCTTGAACACTGTCCACCAAGACCTTCCCTCTTACCAACATGTGTACAGATGGACAGCTTGTGTGTGTTTGTGCGGGCACTATGAATGTATCTGTTTGAGCAGCTAGTAACAGACATAGCTTACTATTTCTGGGGGACTTTTCTATTCCGTATCAGCTGAGTAAGCGTGGGCAGTGTCCCCTGTATAATATACCCATTTGAAGGCACTGCAACAAACAGGACAAATGGTGTCTCACCACTACAGAGTGTTTGGTTATGGCCAGAAAGTACAAAATGTAACAGTAGTGTATGTGTCAATGTGCTAGGAACACAGGCTATGAAGTGGACAAGAACTAAGCGAAGTAAACAATTTTGCTGGTAATTCAGTTGTTATTAAGAGACTATATTGGAGACAGGATAAAAGATGAATGAGACATTTTTACCAAGTTGACGGCTGCAGATAATTATATTTCTGTGTAAGGAAATGAGATGTGCTCAGAGACAGTTGGTAACATAGAGATAATATGTTGGAGTGAATCATGTTCCTCCAAAGATATGTTCAAGTTGTAACTCCCTAGTGCCAAATAAGGGTGTGACCTCATTTGCAAACAGCAGATGTTATCATGATGTCCTTCAGAGAGAAATTTGTACATGAAGGCACCCAGGGAAAGCACTACGTAAGGACAGAAGCAGAGGCTTAGTCCAGTGGTCCTCCACCTTCCTAATGCTGTGACCCTTTAATACAGTAAGTACCTCATGTTGTGTGACCACATCCCTAAAATTATTTTCATTGTTCTTCATAACTGTAATCTTGCTACTGTTATGAATTGTAATATAAATACCTGTGCTTTCTGATGGTCTTACTTAACCCCTGTGAAAGGGTGACCCAAAGAGGTCACAACTCACAGGTTGAGAGTCACTGGCATAGTAGGAAAGGCACTTGCTGCCAAGCCTTAAGACCAGAGTGTGATCCCTGGGACCTACATAGTGGCAGGAGGAAACCCAGAAACCCATGGAAGGAGAGAACTGACTTCACAAGGCTGTCTTTACATGTGCTATGGCATATGTATCCCCTTACACACACACACACACACACACACACACACACACACACACACACACACACTCACACACACCAGATACATATACACACACACAGACACTCCAGACATATATACACATACCACACACACACATACAGACACACCAGACACACACACACTGGACACACATACATAGAGATATACCACACACACACACACACACACACACACACACACACACAGCTTACAGAAATGCAGTTGTGAACTCTGAGATGGTTTTGGAACAGAAAGGGGAAGTAGGCCTGTGGTTCTCAAGCTGTAGGTTCCTGAAAGAGGTGCTCTGTCCCAGAGGAGCAGGGCGAGGAAAAGACCAGGCAACTTCTAAACTCACAGACCTTTGTCCATTAAAAGTACCCTATTAATAGAAAAAGAGAGAAACTAAGATAGAAATTCCTTCCTCATCCCCTGGTATTTGTTTTTATCCAGGTTTTCTGGAAAGCATAATTGTATCTCTCAGTTAAATACTCTCTCTCTAAATTTCTTAATAAAAGAAGGCAATAAAAAATTCTTCATTAGTCAGTGGCTAATTAGGGGTTTTAAGAAGAAAATTTGGATGATCCCATACCCTGTGCTTTTGATTTACTATTTTATCAAATGGCTAGGTGAGTGGAGACCTTTGAGGTGAGTGAGCCCCTTTTGTCAAACACCATGTATAGTTTATCTAATTTAATTTTCATAAACCCAATGAAATGGGACCAGCATTGACAGTTTACAGGTAAGAAACTAGGCTTAAGAGAGGTCCAGTTGCCTGGGTCATGCAATCAGATGGTTGCATAATTGATGTCTGAACAACCGCATTTGGTGGCTAGGAGTTAGTCTGAGTCTGTCACATAGCAAAATGGAAAGGGCAGACATGTTCTGATGTGAGTATCCAGTGTGTGGGGGGATTTATAGTGGCCATTACTTAGGGAATGATTCCTATGAAGGGCATGTTGTGTGTTCCCCGCCCTGCATTGACAAACCTAACTGCCCTCCTCTGGCAAATATAGACAGAAGCCATGTGGTAGGTAGGGCCAAGTTGGTGGAGTAGCTAGAGAGCATTCCACCTTGATTTCAAAGGTGGACAGAGGCAGTTGTACTCACTTTGGGCTATTGTACCAAATGAACCTCAGACCAGGTAGTTTAAATGGCTTAATCCTGAGATTGGATCCAGGGGCAGACAGTAGAAAAAAAAGAACTCTAGTTTCTTTCTCCTGTGATAAGGACACTGATCCTGTCAAAAGAACCCTACCACCATGCTCTCCTCTAAATAGAATGTTTTCCTAAAGGTTCGGCCGCGCATGCCTGTCATCCCAGCTCTTGAGCTGCGAAGGCAGGAGGATCTCAAGTGGGAAGCCAGCTTGAACTATATTGTTTTAAAGAAAGCAAACCCAAAGGCCTCACTCCTTCAGACCATCTTACCAGGAGCTAATGATTTCAAATATATGAGTTTAAAAGGTACACAGACATCCAATCACATAGTAGTACTCATTGGAAGGTCAGCTATAACATCAGGTAATGACAAGTAAATTGCTACATTTGCTTCAGTTTCTGACCTCTCAAATTTAAAAAATGTATGTGGGTGTGCACATATCATAGACACCTGTGGAGGTTGGAAGATGACCTGCAGGAGTTGGTTCTCTCCTTCCACAGTGTGGGTCCTGGAAATTGAACTCAGGCCATCAGGCTTGGCAGCAGGTGCCTTTATCTGCTGAGCCAACCTGCCATCTCCTTATGCCTCTTTTTAAGTGAGAATGTGCTACAGAGATATTCAGATACCATAAACTCAGCCCTAACTGTAAAATTCTGTTGACCTTATCATGTTTTCAAGGCTGTGGTGCTGTCTACTCCCATGACATTTTGCCATCCCTTGAACAAATCTCTGTACCTTTTAGTAGTTTCTGGACCCACCTCCCCTAAACAACCACTGATTAGACCTTTTAACATTTTTTCACTTGTGTTTTCCACAGCTCTGGTGGCACTGTCCTTCAGTGGGGCTATTGGGCTGACTTTTCTTATGTTGGGATGTGCCTTGGAAGACTATGGGTAAGTTGTTTGAAAAGAGAATTACAGTGTGTGTGTGTGTGTGTGTGTGTGTGTGTGTGTGTGTGTCTGCACATGTGTGCGCACATGCACGCTTGTTTGTGTGCATGAGCACACACACATGTATGCAGTTGTTTGCAGAGATGATTTGTCTTCTAGTCTCTTTCCCACCTTACTTTTTGGAAGGCAGGGTTGTAAGTGAACCTGGAGCTTGCTAGACTGACCGGCCAGCTATGCAGACCTTCTGTCTCTACCTCCCCCCTTAACCCCCCCCCTAGTGTTGGGATTACCTGGGTGCTAGGGATTGAATTTGGCCTTGCCTTTATGTTTGTATAGCAAGCACTTTACCTACCAAGCTGTTTCCCCAGCTCTTAAAGAAAAGTCTTTTTGTGTCTCTCTTACTGACCAAATTTGATCAGTGTGGCTCATGCTGTAATGCATGAGTTGGTGAAATCTAGATTAGGAATTCAGCCCCTTCAGGCACCAGTGTATTTGTGTAGAGGAAAGCTCTTTTAAAAAATGGAAATATTCATTTAATAAACAGTTGTTTGGCTCTGAACCTGCAGCGGCAGCTAGAGATGTGAGAACAAGTCCTGGCCCCAGGAGCTTTCAGGTGTAGACTGGAGAGAGAGACAGACAATTAATCAAGGAGACAAGGCAGTAGGAGCTTAGAGAGCCAACCTGTGCATTTCTCCTGAGCCAAGACTTAGTGGATGAGCAAGAGTTTCTCTCTATCCCAAGCATAGGGAACAGTCAGTCAACAGCACTTATCCTACAACCCACTAAAAGGGGATTAATCCAGCCCTTGGGACTTTGTGTGCCCTGTGGAGGAGGTTAGATTATATATCCCAGAGCTGGGAAAACATATCATGAATCTAGGTAGGAATGTGCTGACAGAGTCTGGGAGGGTCCTAAGAGGTCACTGTCAGAGATGTAGCAGTTTCAGGGCCCAGAGCAGTGGATGTGGAAGGAAATAGACTGTGAGGTTTTATTCACTGATCAGGGCTCAAGCAAGTTCCTGCCAGCTTGAATTGAGTGGTGAGTGACTTGAATGCCTTGACCCTAAAATATGTGGTTGAGACCAGCTGGAACCAGTTTTTGTGACCTTTGTCTTAGGTTTTCTATTGCTGAGATTAAAAACAACAGCAACAAAACAAAACAAACAAAAACAAACAAACAAAAACCACCATGGCCAAAAGCAGCTTAGGGAGAAAGGTCCTATTTCAGCTTGAAATTGAAGTTCATCCTGAAGGGAAGTCAGGGCAGGCTATCAAGGCAGGAGCTGAGGAATGCTGGTTACCGGCTTGCTCCTCATTGCTTGATTGCTTTCATATAACCCTGGACCACCTGCTTGATTGCTTTCATATAACCCTGGACCACCTGCTCAGGGTGACACCACACACAGCCGACTGGACTTTCCATGTCAATCATAAATCAAGAAAATGCCCCATAGTCTGTCCTGTAGGCCAGTCTTACAGAGGTATTTTCTCAAGTGAGATTCCGTGCTCTCAAGTGACTCTAGCTTGTAACAAGTTGGAAAAAAAAAAAACAGGGAAACATTTCAGAGATAAAAAATCTACCATGGAGTTAGAAGTGATCGCAGACATCATGTAAATATGATGTAAGCAAAAACATTTGTTCAGAGTTTTCGTGGTCATGACTGTTTTTGTTGAGGGATATGTTGTTCCCTTTCCTGCCTGGGAAACCAAAGCCTGACTGGTGAGAACCTTGCTGGCTGTACAGTAAGTAGTAAGTGGCAGACGTGGGTGTGGCCCTCTGCTCTCCTCTTGGCCATGTGGCACTTTCTGTCATTCCATGACTAATTGAATCTTGGTGTTTGGATTCTCTGTAAGATGGGAGCATCACACATTACTGCCACCACAACGAGACTCATTTTATGCCTCTGTGACAATAGCTTGGGACATTCGTCTGCATGAGAAGTTGTCACCCTGCCTAACATAGCTGCTGCCCATTTCTGTGGGTAAGGCTTTACTGGGACCACTGTCACGGCTTTTATACCACAGTGGCCGAGTGTAGAGGTGACAGAGACCCGAGACTGCCTGGCCGCTTGTGTTCTCTATTTGGTCGTTTTCAGAAAAGGGTTTGCCAGCCTTTGGCCTTCCCACTTAGTAAACCGTGTTAAATGTTACATTCTATGTATGAAAAGACCACTCCCACACTACGAGTTCTCTTGACAGAGGCTCCCTTAGATTGTGCCTCAGAAAACGGTCAAAGTATTCCAGGGAGAGTGCAGGTGCCCGTTAGTTCCCTCCTCTGTAGCTTGTTCCTCACTGTCCTTGTCCTGGTGTTACCCAGCAGCCCCTTGCAACAGTACTTTCTGGGATATATTCGCATAACCTCTGTAGTTTCAAGTGAGGAGCCCACATTCATTGTTTCCATCCCCGGTCTACTTTCTGAAGGACACTCCCTTCTTGCTTCCTGATTATCACCCGACTTCCTACATCTGTGGCCTCACCCCAGGGGTGCCTGCTGTGTGGGTGGATCTGCGTGATTACTGTTTGGCGATGGTGTGTGTTATTGTGTCATGTGTTTATGATAATGACTGGCTGATGTGTTTTTCTTCAGTGTGTGGCTAACTGAAGGACACAAGGGTGATAGATTATTTTGAAAGTATTTATAGGGAAAACACAATGGAAATTCAGTGGCTATTCTTAAAAAGTGAGGGTGTTTTTACCCTCTTGTGTGAGATTATCCTTGTAATTATCTACTGTAATAAAGGTGGGGTTGGGTGCATCTGGTGAGCAAAAGTGTATTTTCATTCCTTCATTGCTAAAATCTTTTGTTTTCTCACCCATTTAATAAGTGTAAATGGAACATCCCATTCCAGGCTCAGGAGATAAATGGAGATTGACTAAGACAAATTGCATCTCTGTTCTAATGAGTGCAAAGATACTAAGTAGTGTTGTTCAGAAAGGGGTGTTGTAGGCAAGGATCACTGGGGTCACCTTCAGGAGCTTAGACTGCATTACAAATGAGAAGAGCCCATGGCAAGCTTGAGACCAGAGTGTGCAAGGAGCAGGGAGAAGGCTTCTGTGGCTTTTGGTTCAGAGAATGAGGGTGGGGTGGTCCAGAATGAATTGAAGACATGGAAAGCATTGGATATGAAGCCTGATGTGTGTCTCATTTTAAATCATCGACGCTTTTGTGCCTGCATGCACTCAAAAGATCTCCATGAAACTAGCATGTGTAAACAGCTGTACTGTGTTATGCAGGGGATACAGAGGTGGCTTTCTAAGGTCCTGTCCTTGGAGCTGCTAGTCAGCGTCAGTGGTAGAATTCTTGCCGAGCTTGGACAAAGTCCTAGGTTTAGTCCCCGCTACAGCAAAAAACCTGCAGATCTGTAATATAACACTCTATAGTTGTTTCTTAGCATACTATAAGCTGTATATGTATTAGAGAATAAGTAATGTTTTCTAACTATATATGTGTCTGGTAGAAATATTTTCATGTTATAATATTCATAGTCGATTAATGTTCTTACTTAAACGTGTAAGATAATGATAATGAAGCAACAGTATGCCCTTGAGTTAAGATGTAACATTTCTCTTGGTCCCACTGATGACAGTGTTTACTGGCCTCTGTTCGTCTTGATCTTCTACGTCATCTCCCCCATCCCCTACTTCATCGCCAAAAGGGTCACCTATGACTCCGATGCGACCAGCAGCGCCTGTCGGGAACTGGCATACTTCTTCACTACTGGGATTGTTGTTTCTGCCTTTGGGTTTCCTGTTATTCTTGCTCGCGTGTCTGTGGTGAGTTCTGTTTTCTGTTGCTTTACTTGCAGTCAGGGTTTGTTTCAAAGGCCTGTGTCTGAGACCTCAAGTTCGTTTTCATTGCCTCAACTTTCCTTGAAGCTAGCTGTAGTGTGAGTTTCCTCTCTCCTATTCTCCTACTTGAGATTCATCAGTGTCTTGGTCATATTTTCAGAATGCTTTAGTCAAATCACATGACATCTTGCTTTTTCCACATCAAGCCATTCTTTTTAAACTGTTCTTAGATTTCTGCCCCTTATGCCACAGGGCAATCCATAAAGACAATAGAAACGAAGCTAAGACAATCAGAAATGAAGATCATATCAAATTGGAACCAGGAAGTTACTTCTCAGTGCTCTGGGATATACTGAGGAGTATCTGGTGAGGGACATCACCACAGCCATTGTAGGGTTTGATTTTTTTTTTTTTTTTTTTTTTTTTTTTTGCATGTAGAACAAACATTGTGGGTATAGTTTATTCAGTTTCTTGATGTTCTCTAACTCTTCTACTCTTTGTTTTTATTCTGCTAAACACATTGGCTACCAAACAAACATGTACAAATATATACAAATCTTGTTTATCCATTCAGCATTAAATACCATTTATGAAATGCCAGGATTAAAAATTCCATGGTTTCAGCACACAAAGAACACGATGATGTCCTGATGAGGACGTATGCTAAAGCACACTACATGTGGGGAGAGACACCAGTTCAAATGCCATAGGAGTACCAAGAAGAGAGAAAAGCCAAATAAGGATTTTGATCAAAGTAGAAAAGGCTGTTGGGATGGTGCCCAAGCGTGCAAATGCAGCGTGTGGAATAAAGAGCCGTGCAGTGTGACAAAGCACAAAGGAGGCCCTGAGAGCGAGCAGAAATGTCGTTGAGGCCTGCTGAGCCAGAGTCCCCAATGCTGCCTCCGTCTGAGCTTTTCTCAAGCCATGAGGCTCTCAGAAGTTCTGAATACAAGGCGTCCTTGCGCCCATTCTTCAGCCTTAAGTGTGCGAATTTCAGCACTGAGGCTGTGTGTGGGGAAGAAACTTTCATTGATGTTTCTCTTGCTTAATTAGAAGCCAAAGGAAAAATAAAAAAAGTGCCCACTAGAGGGTACCCTCATCCCCAGCTGTGCTGCCATAAAATCACCTGCCCAACTGGCATGCCGCTTTCATTTGACTGTGGAAGCATTGTTTAAAGCATGCTTTGCCTAGAAAAAAAAGCACACGGATGTGGAACTTTTCAACCCCTGTTCTCCGTGAGAGAGAGTGATGCCTGCAGAGAATTTGCACTTAATGTAATTGGATCACCAATAATCTTGCTTACATGTGCTTTGCTTGAGGCAGTCATTGTCAGCTAAAACCAAGTAGAGACTTTTCTACAGGAACAATGTAAAGGATGACACTAGACTTGATGAGCAAACATCATGGAATCAATTAAACAAATGACTGAGACGGCCACTGTCCTCCTCCCATGACGTGACTCAGCCTTGTAGCAGCCCTGTGTCAGGTTTCAGTGGGGGTTTGTGGTGTGCAGAGAATTGGAGGTTTACAAAGAGTACCATCTGAAGATGACTTACTCCCTCTCTTGTGTTTCAGATCAAGTGGGGAGCCTGTGGCCTTGTGCTGGCTGGCAATGCTGTCATTTTTCTCACAATTCAAGGCTTTTTCCTCGTCTTTGGAAGAGGAGATGACTTCAGTTGGGAACAGTGGTAACCTTTACTCTTGACGGAAAGCATTGCGTTTCTTAGAATTTGTACTGTACTCATAAGTGTGCACGTGTGGTGGTTTCTTACAGATTTTAATACGCTGAGTTTTTTTTTATACCTTTATATCATGATCATCTTAGGGAAGACGTTGTAAACAAAAGATGAGTTTTATTCCTAGCAAATCGATCACTCCATTGACTCAGATTTTACTTGGGATATGCTTGGGTTACCAGAGACCCTGGGACAGATCTGTTACAGCCCAGGCAGAGTTGGCGTTCTCTCTATACACTGTAGCCTCTTCTCAGAGCGTGCCTCATCCACACAAAGCATCAGCATCTACTAGGCACTTATCGGAGATGCGGGGTTCGAAGCCCCCATTAGATCAAATGCATTTAATGGGAGTTCACGTTTGTCTCATGCATGTTGAAGTTTGAGAAGGCTTTGTTGTAGACGGATAAGCATCATGTCTGCTCTCTTGTCTTCTCTGTGACACAACCACTTAACCTCTCTGGGTATTCCATGTTCATTTGTAAAAGACAAAACAAAACAAACAAACAAACAAAACCCCTGCTCCATGTTAAGAATAGGTTCAGACTCTTGATGTTTCTAAAGTGTTTAAACCTATAATATTTGTGATGTTCCTCAAATGTTGGGGTAGCTGGGTAGGATGTGGTAGAGCATACCCCTTTAATCCCAGTACTCAGGAGGCAGAGCCAGGTGGATCTCTGTTAGTTTGAGGCCAGCCTGGTCTACAGAGTGAGTTCCAGGACAGCCAAGGTTATACAGAGAAACCCTATCTGGAAAAACCAAAAGCCAAACCAAACCAAACCAAACCAAACCAACCAACCAAACAAACAAACAAAAAAAAAACCCAAAACACAAAAAACCAAAACAACAAAGAAAACAAACAACAACAAATTGGGGAGCCCTGTTCTTAGGAGGGATGGATTAATCCTCACATCATTTAAAGGGCAACAACTGTTTGGCAAGAGTAAGTCACAAGATAACCCCAAAGCCCCTCTGGGTGCATGGAAGGAGGCTGGAGTGGGACCCATCCCTGCTTTAAGCAGAGGGACAGACAGACAATTCTTTGAAAATCCCCTTAAAACCTTGTACCTGTCCCTTTCTGCTGTCTCCACTCCCAGCATTCCCATTTGCACTTGTTGGCTCTGACCTCTCCTGGAGGTGTATGGGCGGCAAGAGCAAGCAGGGGGTGAGGGCTTCTTGGGGTTTACACGCTGGCACACTTTCTGTCCTTTGTATTGAACTTGAGGTCACCTCTACAGGAAACATGGGGATCCATGTCACGTTGGCTCTAACAAACAGTTTTTCTAGCTAACCCTTTTTATCCACTACCTATCAGGAGAAGGGAGTAAGAACAGCCACCTCATCAGGATGTTGCCGGCGGCGGCGGTGGTTAAGCATTAATGTTGGAAGCTGGTGAGGGTCCAGGGCTACCCTCTGTGAAGCCTGTGGTCTGAGGGACCAGCAGACCCTGCCAAGGCAGGACTGACACTGAGACTGGCTGATGAACGGACAGTGGACAGCGTGCAATGTTACTTTTTGGCCTTGTGCATGATACTACGTTTTCAATATTTTGTGTACATATAGAATTGTTGTCATTTCTAGTATTTACATTTAAAAAGTTATTTAGATACTTGATCATTGTAACCAGCATTTTTAATCATGGCACTTGCTATTGTAATAAATTTGACTTTAAACCCCAAAGGAGAGTTGAAGTTCATGTCTTTCATCTCATGCTACTCTGCTTAAAAGACGAGTGAGAATTTCTTGAACTGGAACGGACAGTTTGAGCAATAATCCTGTCTTAGAATAATAGCGGTGACTTCTGTGATGCTGTCTGGGTGTCCAGTTAACTGTAATAACTTTTCTTTCCCTCAGATGGCAATAGCCACTCACCAATTTATCCTGCTTTGTTCAGAAGTGTCTTGGTTGTTTGCCCATGCACATCTCAAGCAACCATGAAGGCTTTAATGTAGACACTTAAAGCCTTACTTTTTACCTCCTTTGTAAGCTGGGGTCTTACTCAGTAGCCCAGGCTGCCCCCAAGCTCATCTGCTACCTCTGCCTCAACAGGAGTGAGTGTTGTGATTACAAGCACTACCCCACACCTGGCTTAAGAATTATCTCTACATTTTATTTCCAGAATGATGAATGGTGTAGTGAGATATTTACTTTGTCTGCACCTGTGGTACAGGCCATGCCCATTGGGGGTGGAGACAGGGGTGGACGTTACTTGGGGGTACTAAGTCTGGAGAGGGGGCTCTGAGAGCTCTCTTGCATGCAGCATGGGGACAGGAGTACATCCGGAGGCATCCTTGGGACCAGGAACCTGCTGGTGTTCATCTTTCTCCTTTGTAAGTTATTTCTCCTTGAATAAACATCTATTTGGCCTATTTGTTTCTCCTGACCCTTATTAAACCTCAATAGAATGGTACCTGTATAAAGAGTATTTGAGGGGCTGGAGAGATGACTCAGGTTAAGAGTGCTTGCTGGTTTTGCAGAAGACCCGAGTTCACTTCCCAGCACCCACATCAGCTGACTGACAACAGTAATTCCAGAGGATCCAGTGCTTTCTGGCTCTGAGGTTACCTGCACACCACAACACCACACACACACACACACACACACACACACACACACACACACACACACACACACACCACAATCTTTAAGAAAGTATTTGAAATGGCAGATTATTAGATTTGCTGTGTGTCTGAAAGGGGAGATATTTATTAGCATAAGCATTTTCTTGGTCACAATGTTGGATAAATTTTTTTTTTATCCTTCCAAGAAGTACCCATCCTTTTATTGTAGAATATATTTAAAAAATTTGGAGTGTATTGATTACATCCTAAAAAATTGAGAATACACTTCAGAGATTTGTTCACAAGCAAGAATGCTCATGACCGGACCAACACATTCCAGCAACTAGCTTGCAGGAGAATGGGAAAACCCCTTCCATAACTGCGCTGTTACAAATGGGTAGAGACAGATAAACTGTGTTGACCCTGACCTGTAAGGCTGAAGGCCCTTACCTGAGTTGAAACAGCAGTCATGCTTTAAAGGTGTGAGATTTTGAAGAAAGGAAAGTGGGAGTTCCCACCTCTTTTATTCAGAACAAGGTCTTTCTTCATTAGTGTTTACTCCATTCTGCCTCCAGGTACCCTTGGGGTCCAGGCACCTTCCAGTGAGTTTGACCTATTCCTCTTCCAACCAGGGGTCCTTCTACATCAGCTTCACCCCTCTGCCCCCATTAATCAGCTTTAGCTGGTAATCCTGTGCAGCTGAAAATCTTCTGATTCAGTTTCTTCACAGAAGGAATAGACACTGTCTGTCTTCTCCCTTCTGAAACTGGTATCTGTACCAGCAGGTCTCCTGTGTGCTGCAGCCAATTGCTTGTGAGTACCTCTTGACCCACTGCTAAGTCACAGAGAAACGGACAAGCGGTCCAGCCATGATAGTGTTTGGGACAGGGCAACCCATCCCCTCTTCAGTTACCAGTTTTCATGTTCACAGGTGCATATCTGACCTCCACTAAGGGACCCATGTGTGTTTCTTCCAGACCTCCAGAAATCTTCCTCTTAGTTACCTCCCCGCTGAGGAGTTTTCTAGAAGCTGAAATGTTTTGTTATGTTACTAACACCTCTGATACTCTAGAGGAGTGCTCAGATGATGTCACAAATGTGCTTCCTCATAGTTTACTAAATTAAATTTTGTATCCTAATAGAGCCAAAATGTTTATGATGCCAGCATTTTCCAGGCATAGTGATTAATTATAGCCTGGACACATTATCCTGTAGATGAATGTAATGTGTGTATTTCTATTCTCTCCATTTTGCCTCCATAATTCCTTTATTTGCAAAAGTTCTAGCTTATGAATTATGATTTGCTTTCAAATGGCCAGGCTGCCCAGGTACAGGCAGTGATGTGTGCAACACAGTTCTGAAGCCAGAGACCTCTGACTCTGCCTTTGGGTATGTGATGTGATGAAAATGGTCACTTTTCAAGTAAAACTTGTCACTTAACCCTTCATAGGAAGCTTTTTATGCACATTATTAAGTTTAAACGATTCTATTATGCCTTGGGATGCATTGTATCTGGAGAGGGGACCAGGTTTGCTCCAGTGCTTTTTTCCAGTTCTGTTATCAGTTCAATTACTAGGAACAAATTTTGCAGTGCTGATATGAGTATAAAAGGTCCACAAGAAAATAAAATAAAATAAAATAAAACAAAACAAACAGTTCTCAAGGAATTGTCTGTCCTTTGTGCTGGGAATACAGGCAGGGCTGAGGTCTCCAGACTGTCCCTCAGAGCACAGCACACTTTAGAGACTGCAATGTGTCCCTTCAGTGTTGATTGTCAGAAATGGGTGTTATAGCACTTCACACACTTGTAATAATGGATAGTGAACTTAGGCATTAATTATTCTCAGAATAATTCGAACAGTGCTAATAGCGGTCATGCAGTTGTTAATTCCCAATGCTTTGGCTAAAATCTGTTTATCCCTGCTGGCCATTACTTCATAAGTTGAAGCATGAACGTAACTGTGCTCCTGTCTCAATACTTTCATTTCCTCTGTAGTACCATATTCTGCCAGTTTCATAATTCTTAAAGCTCTCCCTAAACTGTGCGCTTCTTTCTGGCGTATTTATTTATTTATTTATTTATTTATTTATTTATTTATTTATTTATAACAGAACAGCTTGTACTCCAACAGGTCTCTCTCCTGACTGTCCTGGAATTCACCATGTAGACCAGGCCAGCTTCTAACTCACAGAGATCCACCTGCCTCTACCTCTGGAGTGTTGGGGTTAAAGGTGTGTAGCACCGTGCCCAGTCTGGTCATCCACCTTTAATAAACCAATTAAAAGAGCCAGATTAATAATGAAATACAAAAAAAATAAGAATGAGGAGGGGGAGCGAGAGTGCAGAGATAGATTTATTCAGTAGGGCTACATGGGGAAGAGGAACAAAGATTCAGTGACGACTTTAAGTCTATCTTTTGGGTCCTAACATGAAGTTTAGGGTTAACTGCATAATTAAGCAGTCTGGTCAAGATGTGGTCATGTCTATCACCATCTAATCCCGGTGTCTCCTCAGGGAAGTCTAGCAAGTTACCCGCACTGTGTGAAGTCTGTTTCAGGAGACCGTTTGGTCCTCTGCTGGAACTGTATAATCCATAAGGAGTAAACTCCAGCAGAACCTTTCCTATGCTACACTCACTGACTTGGTGGCTTCATGCTGTCTCACTGTAGTAGTTTTCTGTTGCTGTGACAAAATATCATGGCCTAGTCAACTTACAGAAGCTTTTATTTAGGTTCATAGTTCTTAATGATGAGGACAATATGGTAACAGGCAGCAGATATGGTGGCTGAAGCTGGAAGCTGAGAGCAAGCTAGGATTTATCTCAGACTACAAGCATGGGGCAGAGGGGGTTAACTGGAAATGGCCCATGGCTTTGAAACCTCAAAACCCTCTCAGTGACACACTTCCTCCTGCAAGACTTCCCTGAGCACCATCCCCAACTGGGGACCGGAGAATCACACCAAGGTTGAACCTATGGGGGCCGTTCTCCATTGCAATCACCTTTGTCTGTTGTAGGCAGATGACACACATTTCTATTCCTGGGGCAGACTCCTCTGACCCCCAGAATCGTCTACACAGCTAGTAGTGTGTCTGTTCACTTGAGTCTCCATGTGCAACACCCAAACTCAAGCGCATGATTCCAGTTTCTTGGGCCAAAAGACTTGTAATGTCTCAAAGCTTCTCCTCTTTTGCTGTCCCACAAAACTGACCCTCTAAAAATATGCAGTCTTTTAGGTTTTTTTTTCTTTTTTTCTTCAAAGATCTGTGCAACCACCACCTCTAGTTTCAGAATGTGTTCATCATCCCACAAGAAATCACATATGCATTAGCAGTTGCTCATTTCCCTTTCCCCCACCCTAGCAACTAGAAAATGCTATGGCCCTGGGGTCTGTCTCTTATATTTTTGGTTGTGAGCCTAGCCTTTAATGGCTGAGCCATCTCTCCATTGCCAGAGCCTATTTCTTTAAGTAGCAGACACCCAGCAGACCCGGAAGGCACATGTGCTCAGCTCTATGTTTAGGTGGGGTAGGAGGACTCTGCTCGCTGTTTTCTCTCTTGTCTCTTACCACAGCAAAGTAGCTTGCATGCTTAGACAAATGGTTCTCAAAGTGGACATCCTCAAGGCCCTTCTACATTTAACTACATATTTCTTTCCAGAGGCTATCTAAAAAGTACCCCCAGTGACTGCTGATTGAAGTATGCTAACATAGTCTGGCCATTTAGAAATTTCCAAAACTCATGTGCATGTTAAAATGGGCATTTTTGTAAATTGCTTTGTTTTTCACTTAGTTCTCCCTTCCTTGTTTTTTTTTTTAACCCAGTTATGTCTGTTATAATATCTGTAAACCAATTACCCCAATAAGTGGTTATTTAAAAATTCCCCAAACAAGTTAAAAAACAAAATAGCCCCTGAATTGCTGTTATGGCTTGAATATGAAGTGTTCTTACAGACTTGGATCTCGAACACTTTGTTCCCAGCTTGTGGTGCTATTTGGGGCAGCTAGAGAAACTTTTCAGGTGTGTGTGTGTGTGTGTGTGTGTGTGTGTGTGTGTGAGTGTGTGTGTGAGTGTGTGTGTATGAGTGTGAGTGTGTGTGAGTGTGTGTGTGAGTGTGTGTG